TTAATAAATGTAAATATTTTTTATTTCTACAGATTGTATATTTTGCTAGTGTAGTGGCTCATCAATATGAAGTAGACGATCTTTGATGTAGTCCCGGGGCGGATCCAAAATGGCGGCGGTCACGAAGGCCCCGCAGTGAGGAAGAAGAAAAAAAAACCCGACTGAATGAAGTCAGCTGACCTCAGGCTGCTGTCACGCACCGCAGTATCAACCGTTTCTCTCTCGAGGTAAGACAGTAATTTCACACTTCACGACTAGTCGACGAACATAACACTTTAGTTTTAGCATTTAGTCGCTTAAACGAACAGGTTTGATGAAAATAAAACCGTTTTGCGGCGTTTTTTGTAGCAGAAAAACGGCAGAGGCAGCAATTCTCTTTTCTTTGAACGAGGCCGAGAGCAGTCTTAGCTATCATTTTGATACCTTTACCTATACTGTTAGCTAACACCGTTCACGTTTACGGTGAGTTAAATGAGAAACGGGCATAATTCTGATTTACTGAGCAGATTTGAACGTTTTCCTACGGTGTCGGTAAAGGCTAGTCGCGATTAAACCTGTGAAAATTGACCAGCATCATCACGGACTCAAAACCCTTTCAGTTTTGTCATCGAGGAATTTATCCAAGAGACACGATCCGCTTACAAACCTGATGATCTTTACATTAATGCAAGGAGTTAACAGTTAAAATCACCCAAACACATTGGAACCGGTTTGCAGTGTAATAATAATGTGATAACCTGTATTATTGTGCTCAGTTTTCAGGGAACTGTTGTCAGCTTTTTGCAGAATTTCCACACACAGTTTGCAGTATTGCAATATTTTCCACTTCCTTAAGAAGACTCACAGCCAGCCAGTCATGTGCCAAAATCATATGACCAAGTGACTGTCCACAGCTCTAACTGGAGTTATGAGAAATCATAGACTTCTTGCAGTACATTTAATTTAACAACACAGCAGTAGAAGTTTTAGTTTGGGGTCTACATGTGTGATGTGTGTTTTTTCTATTAAAGCAGGTGGACAGTGGTCTCTGTCTGATACATTAGCTGCTGGAACAACATCTGTATAAGTCTCAGCAAGCCATTATGACACGGACTAAACGCTGGTGGAGATTATCAGTCATCCAGGTCATGATCAATCCTAAAAAAAAAATGGTTAAAAAACAAACACAACTGGAATTCTATTCTCAAGTCCAGTTTTTTTAAACCTTATTTTTTTGCACTGACGCTAAACATTCATGCATGAATTCACGAGCTCAGTTTGTCCCGCATATAATTTCTACTTGTATTATATTTTGGAGCATTTATGCCAGAGCAACACCAAAGGGGGGGTTAAATTTTGCAGTTCTCCTGCAGATCTCATGGTGGAGCTGCACAGATGGATTAGGCAGCCTGGCGTAAACAGGAAGCTGTGTACATCAATGGGAAGGACGGAAAAGGACAGATCGGTGGGTGCAAAAAGCACAGAGAGTTAGCATGTCGGTGTAATCCACTGAGGCCGATGGATGCAGTATGTAGCACATGAAGCTGAGCTGAACTCTTTACATTGTCTCCGGGGGGGGATGGGATGAAGTCACAACTGAGGACAGCTTGCTCCTGCTGCACTGTGCGTCTCTGGATTCAAATCTTAAAGAAACTGCTGATTAAAGAAAAAACAGCTATAGGAGGCCCCCCTTGACTTGTAGAAGTAGTGAGCGTCAGTGTTTTTTGTATTTTTCTTTAGATTTCTCTGGTTATCGCAGAAAAACGGTGCTAAAAAGACACTATACAATGCTTTAGTTATTTATTCACTTAATAGGTTGTTTTAACATTTTTTAAAATTGTGATAAATTTGATTTCGTGACTGCACATTTAAATATTTATTTACTTCAATGCAAATTATAACGTATTCGTTTAATGCGCTGGATATTAAAACGCAAACATCTTGGTTATATTTGAGTGTTTTCATGTCGTCATGGGGGCAGCTGTGGATGAGTGGTTAGAGCAGTCGTCTTCCAATGCGAACGTTCGATTCCACGTCGCATGCTGAAGTGTCCCTGGGCAAGACGCTGAACCCCTCATTGCCTCGGAAGTGTGTCCCATCGGTGTATGAATGTGATAAAGCTCTGATTATTCTTTGTATAGATCTAGTAGAGTGCTGTATGAATGGTTAAATGAGGGCACAGATTGTAGTGTAAAGCGCTTTGAATATCTCGATCAGATAGCAAGGTGCTATTTAAGTACAGTTTATCATTTATCTTAGTTCATAGACATGCTGTACTTGCTCTTATTGACTTTGTCAACAGAAACTAAATCACTTTTTTTAAACTCGGCTGCTTCAGAGCTGCAAGTGGACTTCACAACTGGACTTTTTAAATAGATTTTTATGTTTTATGTCATGTCCTCTTCCTCCTTATTCCAGTTAGAACATTGACCTGCGAAGATGGACATGTCCAAGCTGCCCAAGATCAGAGATGAGGAGCGAGAGAGTCAGTTTGGATACGTGCATGGTGTCTCTGGACCAGGTTTGCACATAAACATCGCCATCTTTATTTATGAAAATAATCACTTATAGGTTTTAATCTTAATACAAGTTTTGGCGTACAGTTTAAAAGAAACGCTAGGACTAGTGGACAAATCTACATCTGTCTCATAATGTTTTCGTTTCCAGTGGTGACAGCCACGGCCATGGCGGGAGCAGCCATGTATGAACTGGTCCGTGTGGGTCACAGTGAGCTGGTGGGGGAGATTATCCGGCTGGAGGGAGACATGGCCACCATCCAGGTCTACGAGGAGACGTGTATCCTTACAGTTAACATAGAGACATCTTTATTTGGCTGCTATTAAAGGTTAACGTTTCACATAAATTATTAGTGAACACTTTATATTTAGATGTTTTTTTCTGCTTTTATAGTACTACATATGTACATTACAGGAATTATTACACTCCTGCAGGAGTTTATATTACAAACAATCCTTCGTACCTAATTAGGTGTGTTTTCCTGAGTGTCAGTTTAGCTGGTGTGTCGGTGGGAGACCCTGTGCTGCGGACAGGGAAGCCCCTCTCTGTCGAGTTGGGTCCAGGAATCATGGGGTCCATCTTTGATGGTATCCAGCGACCCCTAAAGGACATCAACGATCTCACAAAGAGCATCTACATCCCCAGAGGAGTCAACATCGGGGCTCTGAATCGAGACCTCAAGTGGGAGTTTTCTCCCAGCAAGAGCCTGCGGGTACGAGTCTGCTCAGGCTGTGGGCTTTCATTCTTAATCGTCTGATTAAATATTCTTATTTTCTTACTGGTAGGTTGGAAGTCACATCACAGGAGGAGATATTTACGGCATGGTTTACGAGAACTCTCTCATCAAGCACAAAATCATGCTGCCTCCTAAGAACAGAGGAACTGTGACCTACGTGGCTCCACCTGGAAGCTATGACATTTCCGTGAGTTCAGCAGAGCATCAGCTACAGATTTACAACCGGCTGCTTGGATGTTGTTTTATGTTGATGTTGTGGGTCTTTGTGGCAGGATGTGGTGATGGAGCTGGAGTTTGAGGGCATAAAGGAGAAGTTCACCATGGTGCAGGTGTGGCCTGTCAGACAGGTGAGGCCTGTCACAGAGAAGCTGCCCGCAAATCACCCGCTGCTGACTGGGCAGAGAGTGCTGGACGCCCTTTTCCCGTATGTTTCACCTTTTACCTCAAAGAAACCTTTACAAAAACATAGTCCTGTTGGTGAACTCTCTTCTCGATGTGAAGATGTGTGCAGGGAGGAACCACGGCCATTCCAGGAGCCTTTGGCTGTGGGAAGACTGTCATCTCTCAGTCCCTATCCAAATACTCCAACAGCGACGTCATTATTTATGTAGGCTGCGGGGAGCGTGGAAATGAGATGTCAGAAGTACTGCGAGACTTCCCCGAGGTGGGTGGCGGTCTTTATACCTGTTTGTATGTGAATTAAAGGGACAGGGTCAGTAACGGCGTTATGTTTCCCATCAGCTCACCATGGAGGTGGATGGAAAAACGGAGAGCATCATGAAGAGAACAGCACTGGTGGCCAACACCTCCAACATGCCCGTCGCTGCCAGAGAGGCCTCTATCTACACAGGTACGAACACAAAACACCTTCAAATAGGCCTGTCGCGATAAACAAATGAATTAATCGCATCATAAATTAAATTTATCAACCTCTTTTTCATTTATCAGCTTTATCATTTCTTCGTGTCTCTTTTTCTACTGAAGACACTGAATGATAAAAAGCTCACCTCCGGTGCTCTTCACTGACCCCTCCCTTTCTCTTTTCTCTTTTAAAATCTGTTTTAATGATTCAAAATCGCATTTTTGGATCGTTAAAAGAAGCTAAGCTGAGAAGTTAAGCTACGAGCTAAGCTAACAGGCTGACCTCAGGGGAAAAAACCTCCGTCTTGTCGAAGCTCCAAAAATTCACGGTTGAAACTCGTGCCTTCATCTAAAAAGTTGTTTTTCTCTGAAAAAAGAAGCCAAGAACTTGTTTACTGACTTTTTATTAAAAGCTTTGTGTGAAAAATGCTAAAGAGCTCAAACCACACCGAGCGTCCGCCATTTTGAGAACCGTTAAAAAGGAACGAGAGACAGCCCACGTCACGTCAAGGGGCCTTCCTCTCATTTTTCTTAGAGGCACGCTGCTCGCTCCCTCACATCCATCCTTTGGTTCAAACAGTCTTATACTGCCATCCAGTTGTCAAAAAGAGGTACTACACACAATTAACCAACATTTCTTCTTAAATTTGACATTACTACTTATTGTCAAATTTCAAACAATATTATCGTTTATCGCAATAATTTCTGAGACAATTAATCGCCCAGCAAAATTTGTTATCGTGACAGGCCTACCCTTCAAATTCAATCTGGATAAACACACTCCTCTGCTTTTCTTTTGTGATCATATTTTATTTTTTGTTTGTGTATTTTTGCAGGGATTACTTTGTCAGAGTACTTCAGGGACATGGGGTATAACGTGAGCATGATGGCTGACTCCACCTCCCGTTGGGCCGAGGCTCTCAGGGAGATTTCAGGCCGTCTGGCTGAGATGCCTGCTGGTACGTTAATATTGTGAAGCAATTGCGTGTCTTTTTTTAATTTTTTTTATGTCACTCATCTTTTAAACCTCCCAGCCTTCCTCGTTTTTGTTTTTCCAAAAAAGAAACGAAATGCAACACAACTTGTTTTTATAAAATTACTATTTTGAACAAAAATGCATCCTTGTAAAGTGTTGTGGAATATTTACAAAGTTTAAATTGCAAGACTTTGTGTTTTTTAAACGGTGAATAGTTTATAGATAGAAAATCTTTTCTCCGTCTGTCCACAGACAGTGGATATCCTGCCTACCTGGGCGCCCGACTCGCCTCCTTCTACGAGCGTGCTGGAAGAGTCAAGTGTCTCGGCAACCCTGAGAGGGAGGGCAGCGTCAGTATTGTGGGAGCGTGAGTTCATCTTTCTACCACTAGAGAGAGCCAATCCCGTGATATTTTCTTATTTGAACTCAAACCCAGCAGCTAAATGAGTGTTTGTCTCCAGTGTATCGCCTCCTGGTGGTGACTTCTCAGATCCCGTCACTTCAGCCACGCTCGGTATTGTTCAGGTAAACGATAAGTCTGGTCCTCTCGTCACTCTAAATAATTAATCTTGTTGTTAAGTGCCCGTACTTCCCCTCTTAGGTGTTCTGGGGTCTGGATAAGAAGCTGGCTCAGAGGAAGCACTTCCCCTCTGTCAACTGGCTCATTAGCTACAGCAAATACACCCGGGCTCTGGATGAATATTACGACAAACACTTCCCAGAGTTCGTGCCTCTGCGTACCAAGGCGAAGGAGATTCTGCAGGAGGAGGAGGACCTGGCTGAGATTGTGCAGCTTGTTGGAAAGGTGAGTCCTCAGCGCTTGCACGAATAAACACTCTGTTTTTACATCTTCCAGCTTTGAAGTAATAACTTCACTTTCACAGGCTTCATTGGCAGAAACTGATAAAATCACCCTGGAAGTGGCTAAACTCATTAAAGATGACTTCCTGCAGCAGAATGGCTACACTCCTTATGACAGGTAGGGGATTTTTCTGATTAGACGTAACATCCTGGAACCCACGTGAATATTTTTTATGTTAAATAACTTGTTTTAAATCCCCTAAAGAGGATTTAATCCACTATTTACTGATTGTCTCCTCAGGTTCTGTCCTTTCTACAAAACGGTGGGCATTCTGTCCAACATGATAGCTTTCTATGACATGGCCCGGCACGCAGTGGAGACCACAGCTCAGAGCGACAACAAGATCACCTGGGCCATGATCAGGGAGCACATGGGAGAAATCCTGTACAGGATCAGCTCCATGAAATTCAAGGTTTGTTTCAGGTGGAAGGAGACGTTTACAGCAGGGTCGGCTTCAAAACTGGAGCTAAAAATGTTGCGTGGCTGTTTAGTTTAATGACAGACCAGGAATAAGTCAAACCCTTACTGTTTCCTGTGTTTAAATATCCAATGAGCTTGTTGTAAAGCTTAGATTCCTGTGACGAATAATAAGTTTTTATATTGCAGCTCTCGCAGCAGGTGCAATCAGTGCCGACATTAACACAGACAAAAAAAGATCCTAAAAAGGAAGTGAGTCATCTAAAAAGCCTCATGGGAATCAACATATCGTGACAAAAAAACAATATTTTTATTACAATTTAGTTTTCAGATTTATGCTTAGGTGCAAACATTGCAGCCAATTCTTGTAAATTGTTATATGAATTGTGTTATATTCATGCAACAGTTAATTTGAGGTGTTTTTAAAAGAAAGCTATCATCCTCAGCTGGCTTCACTTGAGCATTTAGGACAGAGATGGTGGTCCTCTACCTGTACCCTGTCTGGGAAATATTTAATTATTCATAAGTTACATGCAATTTAATAGGGATGCACGATATTATTGGCATGGTATCGGCCGATATAAGTGATAAAATTAAATATCGGACATTGACCATTCCATCAAAATAACTCACCGATATAAAAGTCTTCTGTTTTAAGT